TGGCACCATCATGGCTCACTGCAACCTACTACTCCTGGGCTCAAGTGATCCCCCTGCCTCAGCCTCCTGAGTAGCTAACACTACAGGCACAGGTTACCATGGTTTTTTTTTTTTTTTTTTTGAGATGGAGCCTTGTCCCAGGGTGGGGTGCAGTAGTGCAATCTCGGCTCACTGCAACCTCTGCCCCCAGGTTCCAGTGATTCTCCTGCCTCAGCTTCCTGAGTAGCTGGGATTACAGGCACCCACCACCAAGTCCTGCTAATTTTTGCATTTTTAGTAGAGATAGGTTTCCACCATGTTGGCCAGGCTGGTCTTGAAAACTGACCTCAAGTGATTCGCCTGCCTTAGCCCCTCAAAGTGCTGGGGTTATTAGTGTGAGACACCACACTTGGCCAACTGCTCCTTGTACTAACTTCTTTCCATTTATTCTGTCAGTTAAATCTCTCAAGACAGAAAGCAGCTTACTTATGTTATTGGGTAATGAGAAGGACTTCAGCTAATGGATGTTAGTTCCTAATTGTCAGAATTGGGTTACTTTTTATGGAGGGCCTTGTTGTCTTAAGGTGTTAGTTTCTTTCCTTTCCTTGTGCATTTTTCTGTATTTATACAATTAAACCGTCTTCACATAAGTAATCTAATGAATTCAATTATCTCAGATTTCTGTTCCTCTAAGTAATATATATTGATAAACATAGCTGGGCAACAACACAGACAAATTCTGTTCACATTTGACATCCTGGTTCAACCAAGCATCAGTTTTCTCTAATAGTGGTGGTGAGGATCCTAGTTAGGTTTGGCAAGGGGGTTATTAATGACATAGGTGTGAAAAGCAAACCAAGTTTTCTCAAAAGAAGCTGAGAGTGATCACTGCCATGTGTTTTTGGAATCAGAATCATAAATATCCACCATTCTTGGGAGTAGAAGTTTGGTTAAACAGCTATGAAAAACTTGGCAAACAGGAACTATGGGAAAGAAAAATAATCAAATGAAAATCAATTATTATGTAGAAAAAGGTTTAAAAATTACTTCAGAGCTCTTCCTTCCTCCTGGCTGGATTTCAGGGCAGGACAGAACTGTGTGTCCTCAAGTTCCTTTAAAAAGTTATCGGACTGAACTGAGAACAGTATGATTTTACCCCCAAGTAGGGAAATTTAAATATGCTTATGCCTATTCTACCACCTTAAACAAATACTTACAATCCTGCCCTCTCTAATCCATTATTTCTTGCCTTTTTCAGAGCCAAACTTCTTAAAAGAAGTTTACTTTCAGTACCCACTTCTTTTCTCATTCCCATTCATTCACTTCTCCTCACTACTATATTAATTCAGTTTATCTGGAAAATGAGACAATCCAGCAACTCCTCACAGGGAAATACACTGGCAGTTGAAAAGCAACAAAATTTGCCCATAAATTGTCTCAGAAGCAGCAAGAAACAGAAGCAAAACAATTTTAGAAAGACACATAAACATGAATACTGAAAATGGAACAGTCATAGGACTGAAACTCAAGAACGAGGCATAATGCCCAACATTAAAGATATACAGAGTAAACAGAGCTGAAATGGAGACTCTTGCATTTAGATTGCCAAATGTAAAAACAAATGAATGTAAGCAGTTTATCACCAAAATAATACTTTAAACTGTTGAGACTGCATAAATGTACCATACTACTGTTAGTATTCCATAGAAATAGCACACGACCAGTATAGGTCATTTAGGTAACACATACGGAACATGCTAGTTAGCTGCAATACTGTAACTGCAGTGAAAGCTAAGTGTATCTGCAATAGTATGCTTCTATACATTACTACTTAAAGGCAAAAGCAAAATACTTCAGTTGTTTTAATTTTGGCATGTTTAAAAATTTAGGTTTTCCTGGTTTCCTTATATAAAACACAAAACATTCACAAGGAAACAGTTCTACATATGCTAATAATTGAGCCGAGAGAATACACACTGTGCAGTTCTACAGGGACAAGTACTAAGAAACTATAGAAGTTGTCATTTAATACTGCATATATGGCTAGAAGCCCCAGTACACGCCTGCAGTCCTAGTTACTTCAGCGGCTGAGGCAGGATCGCTTGAGCCCAGGATTCTGCAGCTGTCATTTGCTATGATCATGCCTGTGAACTCCACACGGTTAGACCCTAACTCAAATAAATAAAATGGCTAAAAGTTAGGTCAGAGAGGGCAGGGAAGGAGGAAAGCTGTTTTATTTTGGCTTAGTCTTTTAAAAAAAAAAAAGCATCACTTAGCTATCTAAGGATCATAGATACTAAATTTTATCTTCTGGTGCTGGAGCAGCTCAAGTCCCCATGGTATTGTTTGATAAGCACCTGTGTGCTATATTCATGAAATCAGGAGTTAGGTGTAAGAGGGTGATTTTGATGAACCTTTAAACAAGTTTATAAGCAGAACCCTCAGATTCTACATCAAATTAAGCTTCATAAATATGTACCTACTTACATAATTGCACACAGCTGAATATCTCTGCATATTTGAATTTCCTTCAGTGGCTATATTCATGAACATATTTACACTTGATAAGTTCATCTTCATATATTTATTCTTGCAAAGAAATATTTTCAGCCAGGTGTGGTGGCTCCCACCTGTAATCCCAGCACTTTGGGAGGTCTAGGTGGGCCGATCACGAGGTCAGGAGTTCAAGACTAGGCTGACCAATATGGTGAAACCCCATTTCTACTAAAAATACAAAAATTAGCCAGGCATGGTGGCACATGCCTGTAATCCCAGCTACTTGGGAGACTTTGTTTCCAAAAAAAAAAAAAAAAAAAAGGTTTCTAGTGTTCCCTTAATTATACACACCTGTTTTGCTTATACCCATTACTGGAGATAGTAAAAACAAAAACAACAACAACAAAAAAAAACCTGTTAAAAATTGAGAAATAAAATAATGAGAATTTTCTCTTCCTGTTAATCACTACTATGAAAATTTAAATTTCAAATCTTGACCTTGGGATATTTACCGCATTTATCTTCAGCAGCATATTAAGCAACTAAAATTATGTAAATTTGTTTCAAACTCAAGTTGGGTCACCAAGACTAGAAAACACACTTTTTAGTTTCCGGAGTATTGTTAACTGAAAGTAAAAATGTTAGACAGATGTGGTGGCTTGTGCTTATAATACCATCTAACTTTTCTATTTTTTGAAGAGAAGCAGTGTTGCCATGTTGGCCAGGCTAGTCTTGCTCCTGGCCCCAAGTGATCTGCCTACTTTGGCCTCCCAAAATGCTAGCATTACAGATGTCAACCACCGTGCCTGGCCCTAATTCTCTTTTGAGAGATGAAAAGCTTTATCTCCTCTAGATATTGCTAATTACACTTTAACAATGTTTTCCTAACCTGCGGTGTTTCTCTGGGACACTGAGGTTATTTTTTCAAAAGCTGGCCTCCTCAACTCCTCAAATATTAATTTTGTAAATCAAATTTCTAAAGAGTGGGGTAGAAGTCCATTAGATATAAAGATAGAAAAACTTCAAACTACCCAAACACAAGACAAATTATAGAAATCATTGTATTCTATAGGTATTACTTTTCACACACAAGATTTCTTTTTTTAAAAAACAGACATGGTCTCACTGTTGCCCAGATTGGAGTGCAGTGACACAATCATACTTCACTGCAGCCTCAAACTAATGGAATCAAGTGATCCTCCTGCCTCAGCCTTCCAAGTAGCTAAGCCTACAGGCATGCACTACCATGCCCAGCTCACAGACAAGGCTTTTGACTAATTTGTTGCTCTTTTACCCTACAATTTGTCTTCCATATAATTCGAACTGACAAGGTTATGGCTTAAATAAATTATAAATATAATAATAAATATATTATAAAATGAACAAGATTCATAAGTTTACATAAAACACGAGAAGACACTTGAATCACCAGCCACTAAAAATAACTGAACATATAACAAAGCCACAGTTCGTATGAAGAAAATAAAATAATTGAAGAGCTTGAAATTAAGCCTAAATGTAAATTTCTATTAAGCTTACAACATTACAATAGCATATTGTTCCTTTTCCTATACTTACCATTATTACTTAGAGAAATGTTTCTGAATAACAAAAACTTTGTATGACAAGAGCCTTTTTCATTGTTGTATTCATGGATGACAACACATACTACTTTTGCTTAAAAATCAAACAAACCCATGCATCTTGACTTGTTCCCAGAAACATGACATATAAGATCATTTTTCAAAGGTGTTTTGGTAATTTTAAATTATTCTGTCTAGACTTTCTTTGATATGAGGATCTATTTTTAATTTTATTCACTTCTAACATAGAGGGGAAGTGCATATCTTCAATAACCCAAAGTAACTAGTTAATTTTGTTTCAGAATAATGTGCAAAAGGGAGGAAAGAGCAAAAAGTTTATCAGTATTTTTTAACACATCAGACACTTTCAGGAGGAAAAGAAATTTCCCATGTTGTCATAGTGTAGACAGACTCTGAGAAAGAACACACAGCATTGTTTCAGTGACACAAGAAAAAAGTACAGTTCATTTGAGACTGCGCAAAATCACTCAAAAGACAAGTAACTTTGGTTTCAGTTACTTAGTTTTAAAAAAATTTATCCATGACCCATGTTACTCTGGAACCTATTGTCAGACGTCAGCAGGTGTATCATCAATAATATCTCACCTCTCCCCACTTTTCTAAGACAGGCTCTATCGCCCAGGCTGGAGCACAGTGGCATGATAGAGGCTGACTGCAGCCTCAACCTCCCGGGCTCAAGTAATCCTCCTACCACAGCCTCTAGTGCAGCTGGGACTACAGGGGTGCGACACCATGCCCAGCTAATTTTTTTGTTTAATGTTTTTGTAGAGTTGGTACGGTGTCTCCCTATGTTGCCCAGGCTGGGCTTGAACTCCTAGGATCAAGCAATCCCCCCGCCTCCGTCCCCAAAGTGCTGAGATTAAAGGTATGAGCCACTGCATCTAGTGTTACTCCTTTAGGCTGCGCTTTCTCTTTTCTTACTCGCAGGGCCAAACCAACGTCTTTCCAGCTTGGCTACCTTCCAACAACGATTTCTTCGGACGCCTTTGCTAATCATGCCTGTATGACAAATCAGTGAATCTGAAATCTTGGGGAGAGGGAAGGAGGGTTGGAAAACAAACGGCAAAACAGAAATGCATTTGGGAGGACGAGCACAACTCTGTGGGTGTAAGTGGGCTTCTCAGAATAAAGGCGAGGGTCGCCGCCTATGGTCCCCGCACCTCAACAAAAACACCAACTCTCTCAACTGTACTGTTAACCGATCTAAGATACTCCAAGCCCAGAAGTAAACCGACTCTTTCAACCTCTTAGCTAAAAAACTGAGAAGGAAGCGTAGGGCCCCAGGAAACACCTTCAGGAACTGAGACCGAGGCTCACTGGGCCTGTGGATACCGCTTCTAGTCAGTCCCGCCCTACACCAACCCCCAGCACGGCCTCCACCCTCAGGTTCCCAGGTTTATGCCCGCAGCTATCCGACCAGCTCGTCCTCCACCTCACCATCCCTACTGAACCACCACGCAACTCCCGAGCACCCCTAAAACCTCTGCCTGGCTCCGAGGAATCTTCCCAGTACTCCTAACATGGCGGCCGAGTCCCCTTTGCTCCTTCGCTCTGGGCGCGTCTGACTTGGAGAATTTTGGGCATTGTAGTTCCAGCGATGGCCTCGGTATCCTGCCAGGACTTAAGAAGACTACAGCTCCCAGAAAGCACCGCATTCGAGCATGGCTATTGGGGACGTTTGGACAGAGGGATGATGTCATTGCAAAAGCCTCACTGCATTCATTGTGCTACGGTCTCTCCACCCCCTGCCGCTGGGCTTGCGATTGCCGCTCGCTCCAGCTAAGCTAAGAGTAGCAGCAGCACCAGGGCAGGGACTGACTCCAGCCCTTGGACTCAGGACATCGCAGACCTTCCGTTGCGTGCGTGACTCATTCGCACATCATTTCTGTTTATGCCTGGGGTGGGGAGAAAAATCCCAAACCAGGTGAGTTGAAGTGATTTTTTCACAAGCTTTTACCAAGTTATTCCTCCCGCTTAGTTCTCAAGGCTTTCTTTTGCGAAGCTGTGAGCGGTGGTGAGGTGGGGGGGATTGGGGAGATGCTCGCGGGCGCTGCTGAGGGGAAAAGCTCTGTGCAATTTGGGTCACTGCAAAGAACAACTCCAGCAACCTTCCCCCGCCAAAGGACGGGTGCCTGCCAATTCCCTAGTCGCAACTCCTCTCAACCTTTTTGAGTCGGGAAGAGGGGGCTGGGCTGGGAAGGATGTTGGGGAGTGCTCTTGGAAAATCAGAGGAAGGCAGAGGTGGGGGACTGCAGTCCTGTCACACACGGCCCGAGAGCTGAGGTTTGAGTGGGAAGGGGTGATGCGTGGGGAGAAATGGAGACAGTGATTTAATGTGGTCGCATTACTTTAGAAAATTTGTGTGTCGCTTGGACGAGCACACGTTATTAATTTTTAAGATGAACGTGCTCAAGTTTTGTAGGATTTATTTTGTGTGTATGTCTATGTCGTTTGTCTCGCCTTTTCTGCTGATTTGAGGTGACAGTGTCCTTTAATGGTGCACTCCGTGCCAGTCAGAAACATTTCACGTGTCTGACGAAGATTCTCTGAGGCTGCTGGAAGCAGCGTTTTTGTTAAGTGTTTTCCGTTCTCCGACTGCTGGATTCAAGAGTGTTTGGAAGTGGAGCCGACAGATTTGTGCTTGTGTGTTTTAAATTACATTGGATAGGCTTTTTGCCACTGACAACGGTACCATAATGAGCTGCTGTTTCCTGAGGCATAGTCACTACTCATAAATAACGGTTTCAAGAGATCGATTAGGGAAACCGGGTTCATTTTAACACATTAGAGAAAGGCAAAGTTAGAAGCGCTGTTAACCTTCATTTGCCATTACTGAAAAGTGCCCATGGGAAGAGTGATCTTGGTTAGGGAAACCAAGGAGCATAGTTTTTTTTGTTGTTGTTATTGTTGTTGTTGCCTTTTTTTTTTTTTTTTTTTTTTTAAACGAACTGTTGTTTAACAGGACAGAAAGCATTCTAACTTACATGATGCTCCTGTAAGAGTTATAGGGATGATTAGGGCAATAAATATGTTACTTTGAGATAAACAGCTGGCTGGCTTCACAACAGATGGGGCCAGTCTTAGCTGGAAGATCTACAACCTTGGAAATGAATGGACCTGGGGTCAACCACACCCCCTCTTGGAATGTCAAAAGAAGGAGAAATGCCAGAGAATTTGCTTAACTCTAGAATGCTAAACCTTTTCATAGCTGAGTCAGACATGGGGGAAAGTCTTTACTGGCTGTCTTCTGCTGCTGAGCCAATTTTGTTCATTTTAAATTAAGATCCTTAGGTCTCCAAAGTTGTAGCTGTGTGATATTTCGTTAAAAGCTGCTTGATGCTGAATGCAAAGGACAGTTCATTGTATGAGCTTTGTAGTAGAGTGATTTATTGGGATGCCAATGAGCAGCTTTTGAATTTGGGAAAAGATCAACAGTCAGCCTTTGCCTCTCCGTCTGTCTTTTGATGACCCTCTTCTTTTCTGGACACCCTACCCTTCTCTTCTGTACTTTCCTTTATCCCTCCCACCCCCACATCTCTTGAAATTCTGTTTCTTTCCCTATCTCTCCATTTGCAGTTTACATTTATCCTTTCAGTTTCAAAATCTCTCCCTTATCACCATCATATCACATCTGTTTCTCTCCATCTCTCTCCAATCTTGGAACACCCTCCTTGCTCCTCCTCCACCTCACCTAGGAACTCCTGGGTGGATGTAGACTGTGTGAATATTTTTTTCAGAGTCCTCTTTGAAGAGGATTTCTTTACCTTTTCTTTTTCTTGCGGTCTGTGCTTGGCAGGATGAGCAGCAATGAGCCTGACCCCTGGTCTGGTTTGTGGTTTCTGTGACAGACATAATTTAGCCCCAGCAGCATGTGAACAATGATATGCTGCAGTTGGGCTCATGCCACTTTTCCTTTCACTGGCACCTGTATTAAGAACAGCCTATGAGTTAGCAAGGTTTTTAAATGCTCTACATGAAATGTTCTCATAATTCCCAAGGAGTAAGTAGTCTTCAAATGGCTTGCCTTATATAATGCATTTTTTTTCCCCTTATCCTTGCTCCAGCTGGTAGTGGGAAGGCTGTTCTTCCCCCCCACCCCCCCTTCCTTCCTGTTCCCTGTGGATTGCTGAGGAGCAATCCAGGTGGCCAAACTGCCCATTTGGTTTTTTGAAGATACGTGGAGAACAACAGTTCCTCGCGCCCCCCCCCCCCAACCCCCCCCCCCCCCCCTCTTCTCCCTTGTGGGCCATAGAAGTTTGTTATATTTGTTTACATAACAGCAGTACTTCTCTAGGTGTGGAAAGTCTAACTGCTATCCATCTGGAGGCAACTAGTATGACAGGCAGATTCAGAAGCTGTCCTCTTAGACTTTTTATGCACCACCTTCTCATTCCTAATTTTCTTCTTCTGAAATACTTCCTTACCTACCAAGGTTTCTTTTATTGTTCTAAGGAGAAATAGGCTGAATGCAGCATTAGATTTGGCCCCATCACTGCTGTCTCTGTGACCTTGAATAACTATTCATTTCTTTCTGCTTCAGTTTACTTATTTGCAAGGGGATAATGATCATTGCCCTTTGGTTTACTGATGTTATAGCACTCTATAATCTGGCTCCAACCTATTATTCTGACAACTTACACTGATTGAGCAGCTACCATGTGCTAAGCACTGTGGATACATCAGTGAAAAGAAATGCTTCCCCTGACCTCATGGAGCTTATATTCTAATAGGGGATATACTTAATAAATAATTGCAAGTGTGTTGAATGCCATTTCCAAAAGGGTTGGGTAGGAGTACCTGACATGGTACTTCCCCTTTGTCTGGGGTTATCAGGAAAGGTTTCCTATAGGAAGTGACACTTCAAGAGACTTGGACGGTAAGCGGAAGTAGTAATTCAGGATGGCAGTGGGAGATGCTCATAGTGGAATAAAGAAGATTTCTGGCAGAGGGAACTTCATGTTCAAAGTTCAAAGGGAAGAGTAGTGAACATGAGGATTTGAAAGGAGGTTAGTCAGAGACAGAGCAAGAGAAGAAAGACTAGAATGAAGAAGAATGAGGCTGGAGAGGTGGGCAGAGGCTAGAGAGTAGGCAGTAGTCTGAGCTACAGGTGAATTTTGGTCTTTATCCTGAGTAATGAGAACCTAGCCCAGCTTTAATAAACTAGGTGAACAGCATATGTAGGATGATATTAAAATATTACCCTGCCTGTTAAGTGGAGGAGATTGAAGGAAAGACTTGGCCAGAGTGACTATATAGACAGCACGTAGCAAATAATTTTTGTTGTCTATATGAGGGATGATGGTGCTTAGATCTAGGGTGGTGACAGAAGGTTTAGAGAAAATGGAAGAGACTGGAGAGACACTAAGTTTTGTTTTGTTTTGAGACAGAGTTTTGCTTTTGTTGTCCAGGCTGGAGTGCAGTGGCTCCATCTCGGCTCACTGCAACCTCCACCTCCCCGGTTCAAGTGATTCTCCTGCCTCAGTCTCCTGAGTACCTGGAATTCCAGGCACCCGCCACTATGCCCAGTGAACTTTTGTATTTTTAGTAGAGATGGAGTTTCACCATATTTGCTGGGCTGGTCTCGAACTCCTCACCTCAGGTGAGCCACCCGGCTCAGCCTCCCAAAGTGCTGGGATTACAGGCATGAGCCACCACGCCCAGCTGACACCTTAAGTTTGAAAATTGTAATTGATAAGATTTGTTGATTGACAGGATGGGGGCATAGGGAGAAATGGGAGTCATTAAATGACTTGAGTTTTTTTTTTTTCTTGAGCAACTGGGGATGACATTTTCAGAGAAAGGGAACACTGAATGGGAACCAGGTTATTTTGTTTTCCAGAAGGGAGGACCTTTGGAAGACATCTAAGATCTTTCACTCTTCCTGTCCATGTGTAGGATGTGGCATGGTGGAGTAGAAGAGAGCTCTGGATGAGGCTTTCTTACACTGGGCACTACTTATTAGCTGTGTGATGTTGGACATACCACATTCTTTTCTGAGCTTTAGTTTCCTGATCTGTAAAATGTATGTATTCCACAAATTGATACTGATCCCTAGTATGGAAAACAACAGTATACTCAATTTACTTATTTATTATAACAGTTTTCTATGCACCATGCTAGGAAAACAACATTGAATAAGATACTGTTTGCTTTGGAGGAATTCACTCAGGTGAGGGAGACAAACATAAATAATCACATACAAGAAGGTACTTTGGCAATACTAGACTGGAGGGTGGCGGTGAGGGATTACGGAGGCGTCCACACCTTTGAGTCTAGGCATGAAGGCAAGCAAAATCTCTCCAGTCTATGTTTCCAGGCACCTAATAGAATGCCTCACACAAATTAGAGACTCTAAATGTTTGTTGGGTGAGTGAATTAACCTAAGTCACTAAGGATTTATTCAAAAGCAGAAAATATTAACACACTGGAAGAAGACTCAGAGTAATAATACAGATGCCAAATGTAAAATGCTTTTAAGAGACCCACTAAAATGTATTCTAGGCCGTGCGCAGTGGCTGTAATCCCAGTACTTTGGGTGGCTTGACA